CTTCCGCCAACCTCTTCTCCTCTGCTTTGCCAGCGCCTACTGTGGCGGCCTCTGGCTGGCGGCCGTTTGCATGATGTGCCGCATGGCCGAGGTCTTGAGGGACGGGGAGGCCTTGGAGAGATACTCAGCTATCCTGGCCAAGGGCGCTGCGGCGTTTGAGAGGCTGCTCTGGAACGGTAGGTCCAAGCCCGGCGGGGCAGCTCCTCCAGGGTGGGTCAGCGGGCCCAGAAAGCCCCCCGGGACCACCACCTCCTCTCTCCGTTGCAGGGAAATACTACAACTACGACAGCGGCCGCAGCCCTTCTTCGGACAGCATCATGTCGGACCAGCTGGCCGGGCAGTGGTTCCTGCGGGCATGTGGGCTGGGCGAAGGGCGGTCCGAGGTGAGGGCCGGTGGGGAGGGGCCTCGCTAGCTGCGAGGGTGGGCCGGGTCAGGCCGGGCCTGGGTGCAGGCCAGTCTGCCAGCAAGTCTTCCTCTGGCCCGCAGGTGTTCCCCCGCAGCCACGTGCTCAGTGCCTTGAAGACCATCTTCGAGCTGAACGTGCTGGGCTTTTCGGGAGGGGCCATGGGGGCCGTGAATGGCATGCGCCCCTCAGGGCTGCCGGACACCTCCAGCTTGCAGTCGGACGAGGTGTGGGTCGGCGTGGTGTACGCCCTGGCTGCCACCATGATCCAGGAGGTGGGTGATGAGGACTGGGGGATGGGTTGCCAGCTTGGTAGGTGCCGGGCTGACTGGACTTCTCTCACCTGCGCGCAGGGTCTCGTGCAAGAGGGCTTCCGCACCGCCGAAGGTTGCTACCGGACCGTTTGGGAGCGGCTGGGGATGGCTTTCCAGACCCCCGAGGCGTACTGCGAGAGGAGGGTCTTCCGCTCACTGGCCTACATGCGCCCCCTCAGCGTCTGGAGTATGCAGCTGGCCTTGGAGCAGCGGGTGGCACAAGGGCACCCCATCCCAGCTCAGCCTGTGGCCAGTTCGGTTCACCCCTGAGCCAGGGAGAGGCGGTCAGGTGCTTTGCTGCCCCTGGCCTCGGAGGTCGTCTCCACGTTGCCGTCTTGCGCTGGAGCTGGTCCGTGGGTGCCATCCGGTCTGCTCCTGGCGGGTGTGAAGGAAGCCTCCCTTGCCCCCTCTGCCTGGCACAGCGGTGCTGCCTTCTCTTGGCTGCCCTCAGGCCAGAGCTGAGCTCTTTTTGCAAGGGGGGCAGCTTATGATGAGCTTGGAAGTCTCAACATTCTTCCGTTTTCAACAAACGCCTCTTTTTTGATTTGCACACAATCAAGTTCTATATAATCTGGAGTTATTTTTAGATGCTGAATAATTTTAATTTAAAATAAATGGAACTCAGCAAGGAGGCTTTGCAGAGCCGTGTGTGAAGGTGGGGCGGGGGACACGTTGCCTGGGTGCTCTAATGTCTCTCTGGTGCGGGTAGAGCTCCTCCCTGCAGACTGGGGGCCCCCGAGTCTGGTCTCCCCCGTGGTGGCTTCCAGGGTGGGAGGCTTTGCTGCAGCCAGGTTGCCAGCGCCTGGTCTCCACCAGGGTCTTGCCAGCCTGTTCTCCGGAGACTTGGGCACAGGTGCACATTCACCAGGGGCGGCATCTAGCCGGGCAGGCCAGGTTTGGGTCGGGGAGGATTTGCCTCCAGTGGCTCCGCAGGGCTGCCATTCCCTTCCTCTGGAAAAGTTCAGAGCTTGCCAGTCCCGCCTGGCCTTTGTGCACTGTGTGTTGGTTGCCTTGAAGCCTTTGTCCGGCACTTTCCCACGTGGTGCGTAATTTTTGACTGGGTCTCGTGGGCTTGATCTTTCATACGTGTTCATTCACACAAACCTGTGACGTGGAGCTCCATGTTGTTCTTGCCCCTGGGCAGTACACCCTCCCTGACCTTAGCAATAACATATGGGCACTCATACGCTGAGATGTTGTCTCATGACCTCTGGGAGGGGACGCGTGGAGGCAGGCCACGTAAAGGGCTCCAGGGGGCCCTAGCTGGGAGGGGAGGATCACCCGGTGCCCCAGAGCTGCTACCAGAGGAGGAGGAGTTGCTGCGCACCCCTGGAAAGCTCTCAGCAGCAGGATTGGGCTCTGGGGGCACCCGACTGGTTCATGGCAACCTGCTGCAGAGCACGCCCAGCTGCATCTGTTCGGCTCCCTGGCCATCCCCCTCTTCTGCAGCTTGCAGTGACTGCGCCACGCGAGACTTTGGCCCCAGCCCAGGGTTTCAGCAGCTTGAGCCCCCCCGGGAGGTCAGAGAAAGCCTGGGTGCTGCTCCACCTTTCTTGGGGGGGGGAGGTGAAGGGACCTATTGTAGGTGGCACTGCATCCCAGTCTGCTGGCCCGTCCTGGGCGGTCTCTGCCCTGAGAATAGTGGCCCTTCATTGAGCGGACCAGGCCTGGGTTAGCCGTGTGCTCAGGAGGCACAGCAGCGGCTCTGGGGCAGCCGCTCTGAATGCTGACCCACCGAGGAAAGCCTCTGGAACAGCCCTTCTTTGGGAGAGCTGTGCTTAGGGGAGCTGCTGAATGCAACGCCCCCCCCCCGCCCGAATGCAGACTTCTGGTGCGAGACA